GCCGCCAGCGACTTACATGCCCTCCGAGCAGGCCCAGTCTCTTGCGTTTGGCCCGGCTAGCAAGCCGCCCGGGGCCCCTGGCCGTCGGGCTGCTTTCCCCGCTGTCCAGCTCCTCCGGCGAGGATGGCCAAACGGCCATCAAAGCCGCGGCCAGCCTCCTGCCGGGCTTGGGGTCACCGGAAATCGACGTCCTCTCGGTGGATGCCGACATGGCGCCGGCGCCCGACACACCCCGGCGGACTCGGACACGCCCGGCCCTCGCGGGCGATGACCTCCCCGGCGGCGGTGCGTCGCCGGCCAAACGAGCGCGCTCGCGCTCCCCCGCGCCAGGTCGCCGGTCGCCGGCCAGCGAGCGTCTCACCGCGCGGCTTGAGGCTCGGCGTGCTTCGCTGGATTTGACGCGCGGCCTTGGCCGGCCTGTTGGCAGGGCAGGCTCCTCGCCGGGGCCGGCCGCCAGCCGGGCCGATGTCGAGGTCCGCTTCATCCGGCCGTCTTCGACTCCGGCCTTCCCATCACACTCGCAGGAGCTCATCGACATCGAGCATGTCCAGCCTCCGCCGGGCGGCCTCGCGGCGACGCCGGCACTCGCCGGCTCGACGTCCGAGTCTGATTTGGACATCATGTCGCTGGGCATCTCGGCACCGGCGTCACCGCGCTTTGGGCCGGCGGCCGAGGGGCCCGCGCCGCTGCTTGGCACTGGGCCGCCGCCGGAGGTCATGGCCCCCGGCGCGCCGGCGGCCCCCGGCCCATCGCCACCCCTGTCCGATCCCCCCGCCGTGGACTTGCCCCAGCCCGCCATGCCGAACGCGCCGGCGGCCCCCCCGGCCGGGGGGCCCCCGTCCACTTCGTCCTCCCTTTCGGCCGGGGAAGTTGATGTGGTCTCGGTGTCGGATGACGACCGGGCGCTGGCCGGGCATCCGCCCCGCCCCGACACTCGCCCCGCCCCGCCAAGCCGCCTCATTCCGAAGACCGTGTACACGCTGATGACCGACAAGAAGATCCGCGAGCTTCTCAACCAGTGTGGTATCCCCAGCCGGGGCCCGCGAGCCGTATGTGTGCCCTTGTCTCCTTCTTTTTTTATTTTCTCCCCCCCCCTGGCTTCTGCTCCGCTGCTCCCCCTCCTGCCTGACGCTCTCCGCGTGTCCTCTTCCCCTGCCCCTCGCTCCTTCCCTCGGCAAGACCCTCGTATGGCGGCACAGCGAGTTCCGTCTCCGGTGGAATTCCTTCGTGCTGTCGGACTCGACCGGTGCCGCGGCGGCCGCCACCTCGGCCGGCAGCCTGGCCGACTCGCCGGACGCCCAGCGCATCGTGCAGGAGCTTGTGCAGCTCGAGCAGGCACGCTCAGCGGTTCCGCGCCTTCCCGCGGCCATGGCCGGACGGCTGAGCTCCCTGACCGGCGACCCCCCGGTCACCGGGGACCGCTTGCCCAGCACGGACACCGGTGACTCTCGGTCCTCCTTCGCTCACCTGCTACGCCTTGCCCAGCTGAGCCGGCAACGCAGCCAGCCGTCCTCGCCGGACCTGTCGACTGGCCTGCCCGAGGAAAAAGACCCGGTGGTGCCGGCCGTCGACCCGGAATAAGCCCCCCCCCCCCCCCCCCCCCCCCC